GTGGTTCCCTCCTGAGCCAGCGTCTGCGCTCTCCCGGGCGTTGTTTTAAGGCATGGGCCCTGTGAGGTCCTCTGGCCTCGCGTGAGGTAGCAGGACCGAGTGGTGGCAGCCTAGCGCCTGACCTAGCTCGGTAGATCAGGCTTGCCGATATAAACCTTTAGTTCACTAAAGCAGAGTGAAATTCTTCGTGTAGGCGGTGAGTCTGCTCAGTCTTCCGGAACCGCTGGACCTCTGTCTATGCTTTACCCTGGCTGTGAGCTGGAGGGACGTTGGTGGCGATCGACACATCTGTGGGGCGTGAGACCGGGCAGCCTAATGTACCATCGGCTGTACCAAGCCCCTAAATCCGGCACTTCCATCTAGACGCAGATGTGGCCTTCGTTCTCCAGATGACCATCACTGGCTGTGACGTGGGCGGACGGGCCACCTCCCAAATCTAACCCGGAAAAGGAGCCCCATCGTGGGGTTCGATAAATAGCCTTAAGGAGAACGTAGTACAGTGAACAGAGGCTTTGATTATTAGATGCAAGATCTACATAAGGCACTATTTTCGGGAGAGGTTGTATAAGGGCAGTCATCTGTAAGTTTCCACTTCTCGCTCCATGAGCTGCGTGCAGTGCGTGAACAGGCTTTGTAGCTGATCCCATGCAATGCACGCATTTTTTGCCTCACATTCCTCTATTGAAACTGTGAATATCGCCACACTAGTTCAGTGGGACAACTTACAGGTGCAAGGCAACTACTGCCAGGCTTGTGGAAGGAGTACCACTGCAGGACAGGGAGTCTCTAGTATGTCTGCCAGAATTAGGAAAATATGTTCCTGGACACACTGTCAATAGGTAAAATCAAAGAGTAAGGAAGATGCTTGTAGAAATCAGTAGTTAGGACAGGCATAGTGCTAGCTGGTATTTATGCAGATTTGTATTATCTGTTAAACGCCATTAACTTCTGTGGAAAGACATCAGCAAGCAGTTTTGATCTCCTGATGCTTCTGAAGGTCTTACAAAAATTGTCAAGAGCCTGGCAATGGAGAAAAGCAAAAATATTTACAATCCTATGTCAGATGCTTGTTCTCTGTTATTTGGAGCGGCTAGATTTATAATATGCTGGAGCCCAGCAAGATGGATAGCACAACAGCCATCTTTCGTTAATAAATTGTGTGTTTATTAAAGAATGCTAAAGAAGAGAATTGCACCTAATTTGTTATATATCTAAGTAGATATAATCATATTTGTGTTTTGATTGAAATAAATATATCACACACAGCTAGCTAAGATCCATCTGCACACCTATAAGTAGTGTACTGCAGGTCTTGATTTGTGCATTTTTGGTGCTAATAAATAGCAGATGGACCAACAACAGATTAAACTCAGCTAGGCCCCCCTAAAAAGGGGGGCAGAATTCTATGAATATGTTACTGTTTGTTTTTCTTTTTCTGACTCTGAACCACTAGATCTTCTGAAATAGATATCTTCAGGCTTTACCCTCTCAACTCCTTAATAGGCCCTTTGTCCCGTTTAACAGTTTTTCCAGCCCAAAAGAGAAGCAGGTGCAGGTCCTTATTAAGACACTTATGAATGCTGGATGTTTAAATGTGAACATGTGAATGAGGATTAATTTCTGAAGATTTTTTTCCTACTCGAGTTAATGTAGTTATGGAATACAAAGTTTGCAGACTCAGAGAAATGGATGTACTTTAGTTTATCTTTTAATACTGCCTTGTTAACCAAGCAATACAGGAGCCGGTCCATGTTGTTAGTATTCAGGTAGCAAAAGTCAGTCATATTGTTGCATAGGATTGGGATGCACTGAAATGGTAGGAGCAGGTGTGTATTAAAAAACGCTAAGCTTATTTTGATCAAAGCTTTTATTAGCCTGTTAAAGGCTGTAGCATGACCATTGCTTTTCCATCTCTTGCACAAGCAAAATTTAATTTACTTCAGCGAGAAGTATTGTTTTGAGAATAAGGCCATACAGATGTAGTCAGCTATTACTTTTCTTTGTTGTTGCTGTTGTTTATCTTTGAACAACTTTTTGGAGAACGCCATTTTGGTAGTATTAATAGACAAATATATTGAATCGCCACTCAACAGCTATGCCAATGGACTGGAGAGAAGCACTGAATTCAGTATTTATGAATGCGACTGATGTGCATTAATATCTGGTGAAATGGAGGGGTGTGAATAGATGGACCCAGATACCAGTTTGAAGTACTGTACCCATGCAGCTGTGTGTTTCTGTCGGGGTGCAGCAGGGGCTGGCTGCTCCCCAAGGCAAGCTCAGCTGGGAGCTGGGCCGACCCCAGCACAAGCAGCGCCCTCGCCCACAGGGGCATCCCTCTTGGCTACATCTACGAGGATCACCCAAGAGTCCAGATCATCAGGGAAGTTCATGGTGACGAAGCAGGTCCGAGGACCAGCCAGGACGTTGCCCATGGGTTGAGGTCCAATATATACAAAAGAGGAATGTGAAACTATTCTGACCTCCTAAGGTGAGCAATTTCGTTTCAAGATACCCCTTTAAAATAGCCTCATAACATTATTTGTCCCACGGAGACAGCCTGGCTGGCAGTTTGCAGGGATAATGACTCACCAAGTTAGAGATCTTAGCACTGACAAGTGTTTAACATAATTACTTTTCTCTCTCTCTTCTGGGGAGAAGACGTATTATGAGACGTAGGAAATACGCTTTGAGAAATTCTTACAACGTAGCAGGTAGCTGTTTGTCAGGTATTGATGTTCAGTGGGTTCTCTAGGATGCTATCTTTAAAAAAGAGGCAGTATAATGATGGTTTTAGAAACAGCACTCGGGTAGCAGATTGAAATGAATGAGGTTTCAAATCATTGAGTGGGATTTTAACTTTTTCACTGAAATATGGTGAAGCGATACCATTCATTGCAAGAACTGAAATACTTTAAAACTACTGCGAAATGAATGTCAAGCAAAGAAATCTCATAAATTGCTGACACTTGAGGTTCTTAGCGAAGAACAAAAATGTTTGAAATGTATTATTTGGAACCAATATATAAAGTGTGAATTCTTCAAAATTCAGTTAATGCATTTTAAACTAATATTTTCATGAACAGAGAAAAGTTTAGCTAAGGGCTTCCTGGTTTTTTGTTGTTGTTGTTGTTTTTTAAATATAGCTTCAGGATTACTAAGCAGGAGAAATGAAGACTGGCTTTGGTCT